CTGCACTGTTCCCACCTAATGTTCCTGCTCGAGGGAGAGGAAGTCTCACACAAAGCCTGTTTGCCATAATGTTTTCTGTTCTGGCCCTGCTGGGTGACGTGATGATAATTTATATCACACAACGTCTTTTTGGTCTCATTTTTCAGTTGAGTAACTCTTAGATTCTTCTGTCTCCTTTGCATCTTTCTCTCATCCCTATACTGATTTAATCCACCTCTCATCCTCTCCTCTCTTTGCCCTTATGTCTATTGTCTCCTCTTATCCTTCCTCACTTTCTGCATTAATCCCCACTTCTCTCCCTTATGCTTTCTCCATCTCTTGCCCTTTAGCCTCATCTTGCTTTATCTCCTGTCATCTATCTAATCTCTTATCTACTTCATCCCTCTCCTTTGCCTTCTCTCTCCTTCAGCTGCTCTTTTCTGCTCTGTCCCTGGTCCCCTCCCTCGTTTCACTCTTACCAGTATATTCCATAGGGAGAGACACATCTGGCTCTAGTTACTGTCTGAGCTGGAGGAGGGATGGGAGGAGGACTGTCTCACTGTGGCCCATCCGACTCCACGCATTCCTGCTTTGCTGAGACAAGTCAGCTGAGGCAGGGAACGTACAACGGGAAAACTCTCAAAGCAAGCAGCAAAAGATGAGAAGGACATCCTGCTCTGGTCACAAGAATTAAGAGTTATCTCTTAATATCTCCATATTATTTGACTCTGGACTGAATGTTACGATTCCTGACACTTTAGAATAATAAATTATGTGTATATTCATTTCATTACACCATTGATTGATCCTGAGTCATGTCAGGAGATATCCAGTAATTCTGTAGCGTGAGACATTTCTTCGTACACCACTCCCCTGAAATACAGGGAAATGTCAAGTCAGGGAAATGTCATGTTTGATCCTCCACCCCTTTGACGTGTGAATGCAGAAACTGTCAGCATTGTGGACAATATGGGGTTCTTATTTATAACAACAAGGCAGGCATTGAGAGTGTGCAACTGAGAGTAGTAGTGGTAGAGAAGTATATTGCTATTTTTGCACAATGCAAGAACAAATTTTTTTTCATAACCTAAATCTATAAATTCTGTTCTTGTCTGTGAATTTTTTGAATAAGAAATAGTTAATTAACCCGACAAACGTTCTTAGTTTGTGCAAACGCACAAGTTTAGATCAACTTTGTGTACATTTCATGAACAAGCTACAAAGTTTTGCAAGTCACACACAAGTCTGAAATCTTCAAGAGCAATATGTTCTAAGTCACTCCCCAAACTTTTTGAGTCCTAAACAAGTCACTGTTTGTCAGTGGACTGGTGTGCACTGCCAAACACACCTCCTGCTCGTGTACTGTAACTGGTTGCTGTCGGATTCATGATAGCAGTGACAGATGTCAGACATCACTGCAACAGCCTCAAGGTCAAAATTTGTTTGTAGTAAAATAAAATTGTTGTGTGATTAAGAAGTTGGTGCAACCAATCTACCAACAGCTTTTAAGGCGTAGAGATGCATGCCCAAAAGAAAAGGAGGACAGAAGCCTTGAGAAAACCACTTATCCTGTTAGGGGTCATGGGGTGGGGGGGCGGCCAGTCAATCAGTGCCAAATGCCAATACCTGGTGACAGCGCATCCGGGTGGCGGAAGTACCGAAAAGGCCCCGAAGCCAGGAAGCCGGCCATGGAGCTCCACGGCCAGCAAAGGCTTCCCGGCGAGCCGAAACTATCACTGCAGCGCCAATAGTGTCAGTGTCTGGTCTATTTTCTTTACTATTTTATTTTTGAAATAGCCTGATTGTGATTTTTAAATTACGTACTTATTCCACGTATTTGTCAGCATCTAAAGAGAGGAAGACAAGCAGACACACAAGCAATCGGCGAGACAGACAGACAGACTAAACTCTAGGTGTGATAAGAGAAGAGCAGAGGGGCAGAATAACTTACTGACTGGTGCGGAGTAAAAAGAAAAAGAGACAGAGCGAGACTACGTCACCCTGCAGCTTGTTCAAAATTTGCATTTTTCATTATAACAGAGAAAAGTACCAAAAAAAGGTACCGAATTCCAGGTACCATACTGTACTTGTATGTCCTGCTGGGGCAAAGTTAAAGAATGACGCGTGAGACCAAAATAAATGTGAGAGCATCAGGTTCAAAAAGTGAGACGGTCTTATCTGGTGTTCCACACCAGCGAGTCAGCAGCTCGTATTTTTAGACCTTGAATAGAGAGACTGTGTTGTTGAAAGTGTTTAACAAAGACATGAGCAAATTATTTGCCAAATTTTAGAGCTTTTCTGAAATGTCATACCACCCGTGTGTGCTTTCAAACTCAGGTTGATGAGTAGACTTGTGGGGAGAAATGAGAGAGAGCTACAGACACTAAATCTGTCTTATCTTGCAGCCCCACACTCAGAGGTCAGAGGTCGGCTTTCTTATCTCCTGCTCAGACAGACAGACAGACAGGGAGGCAGAGTCATAAATCAATCTCACCCTCTCGCCTGCTGGGATTCAAGCACAATACAGTGATCCCACGCGGCTTTCTTTTCAGAACCGGGCTTTTCTTCCCCACCCACACCAAAGTAATGACTGTTAAACATTGAGCAACAATTTGGAGAATATGACAGGGCATTATGGAAATTGGAATTGGAACAACAAGTGGTAATCAGTGCAGCCTCTGGCCTGCAACTGCAGATAATTGTTGCGAAGGAGTCCTCAAATCAGCAAGGAAAATGTTCTTTTCTTTGCAGGAGCCGCTGCATCAAAGTCCACATTTTGAGCACACTTCAGTTTTGTCATTTCAACAGTCTGAAGGTACAAAATTCTCAAAAATGACTTGAACAAAAATAATTACATATTAATAGTAAAATACTGTAGCGCAATGTTCAATTTTCTTTCATTGGGCTTTGTGATAAACAGATTATTTCAGCTCTAAAACAAACAGCATAAATTTGCCATAAAAATAAGCATCCACCACACAATGGTTGAGTTTTCTGTGTCTCTCTGTTCTGAGAGAATTAAATAGACTTCCTGCAGTTTGTTGATCACGTTCCTCACAATGTGGATGCACAGTGAGACAATGGAAGTGGACTACACAGACTTTCTGTTGGCTTTTACGGACTGGACACAATGGAGTGTTGTCCCTCCTGGGTGAATGGGAGGAGATAAGAAAAAGACCAACAGGGACTGGCCTGTTAAGACAAAAAAAATCCTGCATACATGTTTTCGGATGATTTTGGACACGTCAGTTAGTTTTTATAAACTTGGCCAAAGTTGGGGAAGCGGTGGAAGTTTGTTTGAACATGTAGCCACACGCAAGCATGCTAACAGTTACTTATCGAGGTGTAATATCAGACAGGTGTTGGCAGGTTGCATGCATGTTAGCATGGTAACAAGTTAGCATTTGCCTGAATGTGCCGCCCATTTTTGCAACCAAACTGTAGTCTTTTTTTGCCTACACGATGTCAGAAAACTGTGAAAAACGTCCATCACAATTACTCAAATTTACATGTTCCAACTGCTTGACCAAGACTAAATAATCCAAAGATGTTCAGTTTGCTGCAGCACAGAAATTGGACCCAATGATCTCTGACATTTCTGGCTAAAATATAAGTGACTAATTGATCATTAAAATTGTTGCTGAATTATTCATTGATCTGGGCTCTACATATTTTACCCATCTACAAACACTCTCCTCTGCAGTGTAAGGAGCCTTACAGCATCACAGGACCGTCACTTGGCTGCAGACTGCAGACTTTTAGTCTTGTTGTACCCACACTGAGCTTGTTTTCACTGTAGTACAAGCACTAAAGAGTCTGCAAATGTGCTCATGCAGCCAAATAGCCGCCATAGCTCCTGTCACTGTATCCACTGGGCCGACCGCACATTAATTTTTAATGACGCAGCTCAGGAGGGCAAAGTCTCGGTGATCCTGTATCAAGAGTTGCCACTTGGCAGATGTTATCTTGTGTTGCTGTGGTGTGAAGGTGTCCTTGAGCAAGGCAGGGAAAGCAAAGTGGGTGAGTGTGTACATCTCTGTAGGAAGATATTACAGATCATATTGGCTTTATTAGAGAGGACAGCCTCAGTGTGGAGGGCAGAGAGAGGGGATGACATGCAGCAAAGGGTTGCAGGCTGGAAATGAACCCACAGCCCCTGCAGCAAGGACACTGCCTTCATATATGGGACGCCTGTTCTTCCCACTAAGCCTCCGGGCACCCATATATAGTATCGTTGGGTATCTTGGGGGGCATTATGTAAAGTCTGTGTTCATCTGTATGAAGTCTATACCCCCTTCAGTCATTCTTGTGTCACTATATATGCTGAAAATATGTAATAAGAAACTGCAAGCTGAGGGCTGCATTTTTATGTATGTTTTTATGTCCTTATTAAAATTTCAGCCATACTGTTTTAGTTAAAATGTTATTTCTTAAATTACTTTAATTTTCTGTAACTTTTAGAGTTCAAAATGTGACCCCAGGTTGCCAGTTTATTATTTATACTTCATTATTTGTAATTTTTGAGAGGTGATATTCAACTTTATGGAAGTTTGAAGGCTGTAGTTTGAGATGCTCTTCAAATACACGTGTGTGGTATAATAAAAGGCTGTTCTACTATTCCACAGATCCTGTTTCAGTGTCTTTGATCCAACTCTTTAATTAGAGGGCTCGTTCCCCAAACATGTTTGTCTGTTGTGTACTTCTCTCGCAAAGGTAGCCTAGGCAGCCAAATAAAGGTACCAGCCTCACCCTGCTGCTCTTTAATTCCACCTGCACTTCCTTGCCAACTAAAGTGGGACTGTGTGATGGTGGCAGTGGTGATAATGACTGTATTGCTAGTTTGTGAATAGGCAAATAGAGGAAGATGATGTGAAGCATCACAAGAGGAACTTTCGCAATTTCCCACGTGGAAATTAGGAGGAAGTATCTCCTGACAACTTCCCTTTCTCTTCTGCTGCTGCATTTCAAATTTCAGATATATTTTTGACACTTAAAGAGGATGTAATTTGGATGTACTGTACCTCCCACCGGCCGTAGGTCATGAAGAACAGGGAGAAAGGGATGGCGGTGCCCGACATGGCGTGTGTGGACGGCATGCTGTACTCAGAGTTGTAAAACATCTCCACTTTGACCACAGGTGGTGAGGCGGGTCGCGACCACCCGATCACATCCTTAGTGCACTGCCCCAGGTACATGACCCAGACCCACACCATGATCAGCCTCCTGCCCACGAAGGCGTCCATGTTCCAGATGACGAAGGGGAAGAAGGTGATGTAGAAGAGCTCGTTGCCCAGCTCGGTCCCGAAAGTGAACATGTAGTACAGGAACCGGTTCCCGATGAGGAACTCCTGCCCGGCATCGCCTGTTAGAGAGTTTTTGCGGAGGGGTTTCACCGTGCTGCTCCCTGATGGACCCGGGGCTTTACCGCCCTGCTCCTCTGGCTCCCCGTCGAGGCTGCGACAGTTGTTACTCCCCGCACCAAACGTCTCTCCCCCGGCGGTCGCCCCGGACACAACTGCTCCATTCTGGGGAGGACTCTCACTTTCCTCCCCTCTCTTTGTCGCCACGTTTGAATCAATACCCCTCTTCCGTACACCCGCTGCTGCTGTTTGCACTTTCTCCCCTTCCCCTGCTCCGACACCAGCCGACTTCTCACTATCATTTCCCCCGGCGGCGACGTGATGATGGCAAGCCCCGTTGTTCTGCGAGTGAGTCCGGTCCGCTTCCGCGCTGATACCCGCCGCACAGACGGTTCTCGAAAACGTCCCGTGTACACCACAGAAGCGCTGAAAGCGGGCGACAAGGTGGGGGTCTTGGAGATAGTGGTACAGTTCTACAAAGCGGTTACTTTTCTCCATGCTTACCCCGGTGTATTCACCCCCCACACGGCTGAAAGAAGGAACACGGACTCCGCTACTTTCCCCCCCGAACACTGGACGATGGACGCTAGCTCGCTCCGGCTAACGTTAGCTAGCTACAATCCCGTGCATCACAGCAGAGTGAACCCCGAACTGTTTTTAAACTACAACAACTTATAACGGCGGGTGGAGTTATTATTTATAAGTAAACTCAATTGTGTTTCCGTTGAGAAGATAACGGACACACCGGGCGGATCGGTTGGTTCTTGTTCGGCGGCGTCGGGATGAGTTCAGAGACCCGCTATCTGTAGTACATCCTGAAACTGACAGATCTACGGAGACTCAGGGGAGCGCGCCTTCCATGGTGCCTTCGGGCTGTCGGAAATTTCACAACTCTACGTTCAAAGCCTTCGTTCTGGGAAGTTAGAGGCTTTTATCAACCTTGGTGGGGAGTGTTGTCTTTTTATAACAAATGGCTGTCGTTAAAAATGGATAATACGCCATCATTTAGTTACACTGACATAATTTACTTGGATGCAAACATTTCAGACACTGTTTATCTAGTCATTATTTTGGGTAAACACCACATTTCATACTTGCAAGTGAAAAGGATATACTCCCTCTTCCACTCTGTTAATTAATAACTTTGCCAACTACCTCAAGCTGCTAAAATATATAGAAAAATTGAATAGTAATCCTTAAACTTGTATACTTGTATTCCTTGACTTGTTCTGTACATTCTCCCTGTGATAAATAAAGGGGGGAAAGTACTTCCTGGTCATTTTATATGGTTTTATTTATTGTTCAGTACCTGTTTACATCTCTATGTGTATTTGACTCTCTGTGGGACTGATTTTTTTTTATATACTTTCCTATATATCTTTATATTAAGATACACAGTATCTGTATAAGTGAAAGGTGTACATAATTTTATTTTATCTTATTTGTATTTTTGTAATATTTTATCCTTATTTACCACTCCTTGTCCCGCACCCTAGTGTGGGATTAATAAAGTCTTATCTTATCTTATCTTATCATATCAGCAAATATCTCACAAACAAGCCAAAGACCCAAGCTTCTATACTCAACCACTGGACACATAGACCTTAACTGAACAGATGAACTATATGTATTAAAAAGTCTGTATAATATGAACTCGTGTAGACTCAATATTGGCTACAGCCCTACTAATAAACTGTACTAAAATGGCCCTCCATTTTCACTACATCTTCTTTAATGGTGACATTAAATTATGTTGATTGTGAAAGGCTTTTTATTAGGCCCATAATGGCTACATGTTTTGTTGATATTAAAAAGCAAAGATGCAAGATGCCAATGAAATGTGAACAAAAATATAAAATGATAGGCATAGGCTTTATTAAAACTATCTTACAATGAAGAAAGAGTTTTATTACTATTCACCATTATTACATTGTTCCAAGAGCGAATAGTTTTCGGATCTACAAACTTGATTGGGCATTGAAGGTATTTCGGATTTGAGCCTCTAAAGTTTGAGCTTGGTAGGAGGACATGAAGGCAACAGGAGTTCCCGCGCGCACGCACAATAGACATAATTAGAACGTCACGACGTAACGTGACCGCGCTTTGCCTGGAGCCTGATATTGTGCGGCTTACTTTTCACTGTCTTTTCATCAGCCTCTGAATATTACAAACAAAACTGAATCTAAAATACTAGATTTAAAAAAGGTCTCATTTTAACTGATCCTGATTGTTTGAACACCTGCTTACAAGAAAGATGAATAAAGAAAGATTGTGAAAATGCATCTATTATTATTACTGCTTGTATTGCTGCACAAAGAAGCATGGAAACACACAAACATTGTCACCTCACATACTTTATTTGATACTCAATCACCTGAAAAAAAGTTCACTGGCCCTTTTTCCAAAATAGTTTATCTTAAATATGGAATATGCATTTTCATCAAAATATAAATTCTTGTTTTAAAATATCAAGCTTCTCTTTAATAGTTGCCTGCAGTTGTTGTTGTTTTTTCCATTGTAGTGATTGTTATCAAGATGCAAATTTAAAACCCAGAGAAACTCCTGGACTGAACACTCAAAACACAGAAAGAGACACTTAAAGGATGAATCATTAATCACCGTTGTCATACAGCACGCATGTAGTGCCCTGTTAAATAATAAAATATCTTCTGACAGTTTAAAAATTCAGTCTCTGCTATCACAACCAGGACTGATGGTTAGAAAATATGGAGTATAATATCAATTTAAAGACATTCTGCTCTTCGAAATCCATCTTTAAAACACCACAGGGGTGGAAATCAATCACAAACGGATTATTTGGTAGCAGAAAATAAAATGTTGTGACCTCTGAGAGCTGGAGAGAATGAGAGGAGATGCAATTTTCCTTTTCTGAAACCACAAAAAAGCAAATCATGACCTATTTTTTTAACATATGGCGAAATAGGGAAACGACAAAGAAAGATTATTATCCTTTTCAGTAAAACTTTACTTTAAATCCCACTATTTAGCATTATAAGCACTAAAACATTTAATAAATGGTTTATAACACACTTTAATGTAGCTGTATGCAGATACAAGGACACTTTAAGTGTGCAGTACTTGTTGGGAATTATAACTTCTCCTGTGAAGGCATATTTTATAGTATTACATCTGCATTTTACAATGTTGTCACTCATTTACCTACAGGAGGAGTTAATAAACACTTATATCTGCTTATAACTGAATTATACTGTTATGAACCATTTGTATGCTGCTTATAAATGCTTAACAATGGGTTTAAAGTGTTACCATCTTATTACTTGCATTGTGAGATTTGAACACATCAGCCACTATAAATGGCCTCAGTATGAATTATTTCACCAGCAGAGGGCAGCAAAGTGATGCAAAACACAGGACATCAAATACAGAGAGAGAAACAGTCTTCCCACGGGCGGTAAATGCACCTCAGAGGATGTAGTGTCTTGAGATAGCATGACGATTCACACAGTCCAGGGAATGTTACACAAAATATTTCATAAATCACACAGTAGCATAAAAAGATAACAGAAGCATATCAGCGCATATTCTCCACGCAAGCCAAGGTGCATCAAAAAAGTAGCCTGCAGTCTGTAAATCCCTGAATACGCTCACGGTTTTCACATGAGCAACAATGACATTAAAAATCAATTACACAACACCAACAGCCCGCTTCAAAGTCTCTCACATTTGCACGTATAGTAAAATGGCAGTGACGCTGCGACAGAGTTTGACATCAACATCAGAGACCCTGCTGATCCTGAAGCAGAATGAGGGTTTCTCAGCTTTTCAAATCCATTGCTGCCTCATAGCGAGGAGACAAGAGGAGGTGACATCCTGGCAACAGACAAAACAGACCCCATGATACGTGTCCCTCAAAGGTTTTTAGTGGGAGAACACCAGCAGCTTTCATCTTGGTGATTTTAAACAAACAGTACATGTCCACATGCCTGGCTGTAACATGAACTGCATTTCCCAGCTTTGCAAAGAGGCAGTGAGGTGTGGGCAGTCAGCCGTTGTCGTCCAGGTTGTACAGAAGGACCTGGTGGTTTGGGGCGAGGCCCGGGCAGGTACCCAGGCTGTACAGGCACCCGGCTGATGGGTAACAGGGCACCAGCCGGTAATGCTGCAGCTCCTCCAGGCCAAACGCCGGAGAGCAGCAGTCCATCACCAGCACCTTCACCCTCTTCCTGTCCGGGTACAACAGCCTCTGCTGCCCCCTCTCTCCTATCACCTCTTCCTCTAATTCTTCTTCTTCCTCCTCCTCTTCTACTTCATCTTCTTCTTCCTCTTCCTCCTCTTCAGCCTCCAGCTCCTCCTCCTCATGGTGGATCTTCCTCAGCAGGTTGTTGATGAGGACGGAGCGCCGCAGGTAGGCCTCGGGGTCCTCCAGGAACCTCAGCTTCTCCAGGGACAGCTTCAGGATGCAGCTCCGGTCCTCCTGCAGTATCAGGTGCTGCAGGTGACAAAAAAAGACAGAGGATTAGTTTGTGCTGTTACATCTCTACTTTTCCACCTTTGTCCTGTGCAGTTCAGAAGGAGGATGTCAGAGGAATCAGCTTACATTTCATGAAAGCAGATTAAAAGTTTCAGGGTCAAAGCTTAAACATTCATGTGATTCACTTTATTTTCTTGTTAAGACATCAACGGATAATCAGAAAAAGTAGACAAACAATGAACTCTAACAGCACCGCTCTGCTGTCACTGACTCTAGAACCAGGTGTTTGCAATTTTATGAAACAACCACAAACTTTTTAGGATGTAAATGATGTTTATCGCAACAGGAAACAATTTAAAGAAGACACAAGAGGACATGGGAAGTTCTTTCACTTTAGGCCAGGAGTGTCAACCATAGGGTCAGTGTTTGATTAACAGAGAGTTTAATAAATGCAAATATTTAAGATAATCAAGCCATTTTAGTCTGTGTTTGCTTGACGCAAGTCATCAGCAGCCCCTCCCGTTGTGAAGCCGCCTCGTTCCGTTTAAACCAAAAAGGTTCCAATATGACTACCCTACGAGGTGGAAAATTGGGCACCTCGGATCAACTCGCCAAACAGTCTCTGTGTGTCTAAACGCTCACAGCTTGTTGGCAAAACGGCCCAACATTCACGGAAAATCTGGCAGTGTAAAAGGGGCTAAAGTTTCCTTCATAGACTCAAGGTAACACGGTTAAGTAACTGATATACAAATTGTCATTTTGAAGGTGAAGTATCCTTTAAAGACTGAGTGTGGGACATTTACATATAAATCAGCATCCCTTACATTCAAGCCCTGAAATGAGTTCACACAGTGCTGATTAAACCTACTGTATCGTCACCAGGGAAAGCTCTCTGTATTTGTCAGTATACAGAGTTTTGTGTCTGCTGTCTGGGGCAACTTTTCTGTACATTTACACAGGAAGTGATTGGTTTTATGCCTCAGGAGTTGCAGGTGACACCATCAGCCAACTTGAGATGAGCTCAAACCAGCCAGTACGCACTGCTGCAACTTTTCTCTGCAACGTTCTAAAACAGTTTCATCTTGTCGCTTATCATTGGTCTGAACTGGGCTTTATACATGTGTTAGGTGATATATTGTTCTTTAAATATGCTACCTCTCCTTTCCCTTTAAAGGACAGATATAGAGCTTTAATTTGAAGCCACCAGGCCCTCTTCTTCTCCCACGGCCGCTGAGCCCTCTCCACCAGCGGCCAGCGTTGGTCTAGCGGCCAGTGTTGGTCACTCTGCTCGCCGCTCCTCTACAGGGAGGGACCGCCGTAGGATGCTGAAGGAGGCTGTTATCATGCACTCAGGGGGTCTCTCTCGG